TTTAAAAGCACAGCAGACACAGCAAATTCAAGTAGGGGGGTGGACTCAACCCCAGGCTTGCTGGGACAGCCAGGTCTTCACGGCCATCCGGAAGGCCTGAAGGGTGGAGAGGGTCCAAATCTCCACAGGGAGCTCGTTCCAAAGGGCCCGGGGCAGCCACAGAGAAGGCCCTCCTCTGAGTAGTCACCAGCCGACATTGGCTGGCAGATGGAATACGGAGGAGGCCTAATCTGTGGGATCGAATGGGTCTGTGGGAGGTAATCGTGATGGAAGTGATGGCGAACCTTTTTCGTCTTGGCTGCCAAAAGCATACGCCTGCGTGCCCATCCCCATAATTTAATCCCCCCACACACACTATGCCCCTTGCGCATGTATGTGTGACCCCCTCGCTGCCCCGCGCATGCGTGCAGGGCTTTCTTGGAGCTTGGGGTGAGCAAAAATCCCCCCTGCCCCTTGGAGGCCAGAAACGGTCTGTTTTCCAACTTCCGGTTTGTGCATTGGGCATATTGAAGCCTCCGGAGAGCGAATAACAGCCCAACAAGCAAAGTCAGAAAACAGGCCGTTTCTGGCCTCCGGAGGGTGAAATATGGCTGAAAACCAAGGCCGAAAATCACCTGTCAGTGCGGGAGCTGATAGGGCAACGCCTCGCATACCCTCCGAAATGGCTCCATAGGTTCGCCATCACGGCTATAGTGTGTGTGCGTGTGTGTGATACAAGCTGTGTGTGTGTGAGATACAAGCTGGGGAAATGACACTACTAGGCGGCATTATTATCTATTATGTTAGCTTCATCCTTTTTGTACATGCATAGATGAGGCGAGGCAGAATGCAATGTGAGTGTGGCCATTTTGTCCCTGGATTCAATGGAGGTTACTACTAGATAGGTGCTAAGTGAAGTGTAAGTGAGCATAAGTGCATGGATACCAGACGTATGACCCGAGCCGAGCGGTACATTTAGAATAGCGAGGGAGAGACAAAACTATTATTAATGAAGTGTAGAGAGAGTCAAGGCCAATGTAAGAAAGCACTATATCATACAATGTGCAATTAAACTGAATAGACTAGAACAGAATAGAGCTGGAAGGTACCTTGAAGGTCCTCTAGTCCAGCCCCCTGCTCAAGCAGGAGAACCTATACTCTTTCAGATACGTGGCTGTCTAGTCTCTTCTTGAAAACCTCCAGTGATCATGTGCCCACGGTCTCTGAAGGCAAACTGTTCCACTGGTTAATTGTCCTCACCGTCAGGAAGTTTCTCCTTAATTCCAAGTTGCTTCCCTCTTTGGTTAGTTTCCAACCATTATTTCTTGTCCTGCCCTCTTGGAGAATAATTGGACCCCCTCTTCTTTGTAGCAGCCCCTCAAATACTAGAACACTGCTATCATGTCACCCCTTTGGGTCCTTTAGATGTGTGGATGGCTCCCTGAAATGGATTGGACACGTTCACAATATTAATTCTAGCCACAGTTGTGATTGTAACTTGAAAGCTACCTGTGTGCTGCCTGTTGTGGTGAATCATATTATCAGTAGGAGAGGAGATGCTTTTCTCAGCACTATTGTTTCTCTTTTCACTGTTCCAATAACTCCAATTTTTCTCCCCTCTTAGTTCTATTGAGATAGACACCAGTAACCTGATTTTTCATATTTTTAAACTCTAAAACTCTTCTTTTTGAGGTTTGGCATTAATATAAGTCTATAGTACAAATGAATATAAGGACCTTAGAATAGATTAGAAAGTGGACCTTAGAATAGAATAGATTAGAAAGTGATTAAAAGAAACATTTTTGTCATGCCCATCATGTGCAGAATTATTATTTTCATTGAGGTCTCTGTTATAACAATTTGCACAAAACAGTGCAGCTAGTTTCACTAACCTCACTGAGCCCAAATCTGACAATGGTTCACAGGGCGTGGCTCCACACACTATGTGTATTCAAAGTCACACATGCCACAATGCTACAGGGACACGGTGGCTCAGTGGCTAAGACACTGAGCTTGTCGATTGGAAAAGTTGACAGTTCGGCGGTTCGAATCCCTAGTGCCGTGTAAGCGAGTGAGCTCCTGTTACTTGTCCTAGCTTCTGCCAACCTAGCAGTTTGAAAGCATGTAAAAATGCAAATAGGAACCACCACTGGTAGGAAGGTAACAGCATTCCGTGTGCCTTTGGCCACATGACCACGAGTGACAGCGCTGGCTCTTTGGCTTTGAAACGGAGATGAGCACCGCCCCCTAGAGTCAGGAATGACTAGCACATATGTGCGAGGTGGAACCTTTACAATGCTACACGTGCTACAACTCACTCATGATTCATTGAATTGTGTCCATCCGACAATTTTTTTTTTTCATGGGAGACACTATCTTGAACTGAATTCCAGGCAGATTTGTACAACATCTTAAATTAAAAAATGGATGATGTTCGGAATATAATCTAACGGTTGGGTTGGCAATATATAAATATATAAATTATGTAACAATGCTATACCTGTTTCTTTAAATCCTACTATAAAATGTGATTGGTTGCTGTTTTCCTCAATAGGCCATAAGAGGAAGCCAGAATGTCTGTTAGCTCTCTGTTAGATGCTGGGCTGATCTGATCTGAATGTTTTTGGAAGCTGGAAGTG